ACTTAAAATTTACTTATCTGTAATAAATGTATTTTTTATTTAGTAAGATCCAATGCTCCATTCTTAAGAGACTCTTCCTGTGACTGTGCTTCTTTTTTAGGCCTTTTTTCTTCAGTTGTCTCTTTTCGACTGATTAATTTACGTGTATAAGTATTTGATCGTAATTCAAGATTTCTGTAACACAAATTTTTATTGAAACAAGGAAAAACCAAATTTTAAAAGAGCAAATGCATATTTACAGTATCAACTGTTATGATTAAAAGTTATAAAACTTAAACAATTGCATTATTCAAACGTTTTATCAAGATTTATGTTTCACTTTTCTCGTTGTTAAATCTTATTAGTTCACAAATTTCTCTAATATTCTTCTATTTTTAATACTAGTTGAGACTTTTAACTTGTATGTCATCAAACTTTGTTATTGTAATATTAAAATCTCACAACATGAATGTGTGATACATTGCACTGTAACACAACACTGGAAGTTTTTTAAATCAAACATAAACCATTACAACATTTTTGAGGATTAATCAAAACGAATGTATTATATAACAACTTGTTAACTTTCAATATTTAAAATCATTTAACAGTGAACATACAAGGTCATTTCAATTAAAATATTAATCAAGTTAGGATTGGTAGGATCAGCGTCTGTAGACTATACATAAGTGCTTCCATAAGTTAATGGTAAAAAGCTTAAGGTATTGTAATTTTTTTTCATGTGGTTGATTTTATAAGCTATATAAAAAAAGTAGAATATTTACACTTTTACATGTTGATTTTTGACTCAAAGGTAAATTGTAAACTTGCCGCAGATAGCACAGAATACATCAACTTTTTATTGTCTATCTATGAAATCAGTTGCAGCTGGTTTATAGTTGATAAAATGGCTCTACTGTAAGTATAGTGATAGTTATTTGGATCAGCGCCATCTAGCGGTCTTTATTTTTTGGCCAAAAGTGGCTCCTAAAATTCTGAATCAGAGCAATCAGGATTAGAGCCATTTAGTCAATTATAAACCAGCCGCAACTCATGATGAAGCTATAAAATGAAAAAATAACAATACATGTGTTTTTGGCGGCAAGTTAACAATCTATTTTTTACTCGAAAATTTATCTTCAAAAGCAAAAATACATAGCAGGTCAATTTTTTGGTAGAAAATAGATTGTTACCTTGCCGCCAAAAACACATGTATTGTTATTTTTTCATTTTATAACTACATCATGAGTTGCGGCTGGTTTACAATTGACTAAATGGCTCTAGTCCTGATTGCTCTGATTGAGAATTTTAGAGGCCACTTTTCGCCAAAAAATAAAGACCGCTAGATGGCGCTGATCCAAATAATTATTGCTATTTACAGTAAAGTCACTTTATTAATTATAAACCAGCCGCAAATGATATTATAAATGGACAATGAATAGTTGACATTTTTTAAGCTACTTGCGGCAAGTTTATAATATATCTTATACCCGAAAATTGACCTACAAAACCATAACTATTCCACTCATCTTACAAGGCTTATGAAATCGACCACATTTACAAAATTATTTATTTTAGACCTTTTACCATTAACTCATGGAAGCACAAATTAATCAGTCCAAAACAGACAACTGAAGAAAAGAGCCTTAAAAAAGAAGCATAAAGTAGTCACACGAAGAGTCTCTGAAGAATGGAGCATTGGAGGCTCCACTGCAGCTCCTTTCACTGCTGCGGTCCGAAAAATGGAGGCGTTAGTCACCTCATTCATACTCTTAGCCCAATTCTAGCGAGGCAAAAGAGGCATGCAAGACTCTTGATTCTTGGTGTGTTGCAATTTTTGCAACTAAATAAGTATTTCTGTTGTACTACTAAGTATACCTACCTACTGTGCATTTACTTTACGTTGCACCTACTGAGTATAAGGATGCATGAGAGAAGAGAGAATACTTAAGCCCTCCAAAGAGGGCGAAAATATTGCGTGAGGCTATTAGTATACTACAATCTGAACACACCGTAACATACCGAGGTGAAAAAAAGTTACGGAATACTTACCACCCCCCCCCCCTGCGTGAGCGCATATCGAAAGAAGACTGTTCTTCCTCCAGCTGGCCTTGGGGGATCTTAAGAAGACATCGTAATTCGTAATACAAGTGCAGCGTTTCAGTGTGTTATACTGTATAACATACAATCTACGTGAGCCCTATCATATGCAGGGAGGGTGAGAGAAGAAGAGTCAATCGAGCCGAGGGGAGTTGGACGTAGGTATGTATTTTATTTACCACTGATAAACTTACCTCTTGTAAGTGACAAGTACTGTTTGCCACCTTGTATTATGTGTGTTTGTATCCTTTTGCTGCTACAGACTTACAGAGTGCTATTCTCCAATTTTTGACTCCAGATTTATTTTTTCTAAATGAACACCTAGTTTATTCGAGAATGAAAGGTTGTTTAATTGACTTCTGCTAAATCCGACAGGGTCGAATGTGATGTTTTTTCTCTCTAAATTTCATCGTTTGTATGGGAATGTGTTAATTGAACAGTAATAATCGATCAACTTAATTAACCGTGCAAGAGAAGCTGATGTTTTAGTGGATGGTGCCTTGGAAAGGTTAGTGGTGTGTGTAATAGGATTGATAAATTCATGCAAGTTGACGCTTTGAGGAAACTGATTGGCTTATGCATGATTATGCAGAGTATGTCAAGGCTTCTTTTACTAGCTGAGCAAGCCAGTTTGTTATTGAAATTTCTCGGTCTTGCACTTGGTCTTTGATTTATTTTTGCTTTTCCTTCTTTTCTCTCTTTTTGATAACCTTTCAAGAGTATACATATCTTATATTTACAAGTGCTAGTTTTTAACAGCAGCTAGTTAATTATCAAGTGGTTGAAAGTTTGTGTAAGAAGATTGCAGGATTCATTCTATATTTTTTTTTCGATTTCATGAAAGTCAAGTTGCTTCAACCTCTATCATATGAAATGCCACTGAGGCCAAATCTATACTTGTATTGTTATCTAAGTTTGCATGTAGTAGTCAAGTACTTTTACTCTGAATGGAGAAACAAAGAATGTACAGTATGTGCTTCTTCAAATCTAGAGCTATTGAGCTATTGTACTATTCTTTATTTATATATTCTTCATGACCAATAAAATTACATTTAGTATGTATAATTTTTAATTGGTAATACAAATATAGAAAAGCTTTACCTGTATGCATGTTCTTAAGATCAAACGATATCAAATAATATAAGAATAATACCAAAATGTTTACTGCAAATGATAGCATAATAATTTGTCACAACAGTTAAATACCATTTTGATAAAGTTTCATTTTTATTTTCAGCAATTGAATTCTACTTATGTCTCTGCCTAAATGCATCCTGATCCAAGCACGAGTTGATAGAATCATAGAAGCACAGGATGTCTTCTGTCACTTTTTCGCAAAAGAAATTTATACCAGTACCTCCTGAAAAGGGTAGCTTTCCTCTGGATCACGAAGGTCTCTGTCGCAATCTTATGGTCAAGTACATGCGCTGTCTTTATGAAAATAAGAACGTTTCCTCCAACTGCAGAGATATAAGTAAAGATTATCTTGCGTGTCGTATGGAAAATGGATTAATGGCCCAAGAAGACTGGACAAAGCTCGGATTCAACGAACAAGAAATTGAAAAACAAAAGGAGCAATGAGAAAGGTTTTCCGTCTTCGTCGTAGAGTGGATTACCTGGAATTGGCCTCAGCTGCAGAACAAAGAAATTCTTCAAAAACCATTATCCTGGTTAGAAAATTTTTTTCAACAAACACATGATTTTTCTGCATTTAATACTTTTCATCATATTTACCGTTCTACTTGAAAAAGCTAATTAAAAAATAAGGTAAATCCAGCTTAAAAAGTTCTTAAATTTATTATGTTGTCAGGGTTCTCTTTGATGTATCAACGACGAGACGAGCACACACGTTTCAATCCTAACGGATCCTGAACAGATTAAGTTACGCGATCTCGTGTTTTATATGAATATATACAAACAATATATATTTACATACAAAAATATATATATACATTAAATAGAGGAAAATATCAGTAATATTAAAATAAATATATGTATACAAACAGATAAAATTATATGTATACAAACGTTAATGGGGTGTGTGTCGTTGAAAACGGCTTGAAAGCTCGTGCTAGCCACGGTTTAAAAAACTGAATTTTCGATAAAATTAACATATCATTTAAAAAAAAAAACTAAAGTTTACAATAACTCACGCTTGAAACAAAAACTACAGTCTAACCGATACGTTATTATTGTTAAAATCCATCGCATAATTCATGTATAAAAGCTTCAGCCAAGAAAAATAAATCATTTACATAAATTGAAAAAACAATACTCATAGCTTTCGCATATTTCTCCTGCTGTCGTGAGTAGCGTTGGGATTTCAATTAAAACCTTAAAAAAAAAAAAAAAAAAAAAAAAAAAAAAAAAAAAAAAAAAAAAAANGTAGTTTTCCTACGAGTTTGAAAAGTCTCTGTGTGCGAACCGAGAGGTTTGCGGCCCGAGCCGAAGGCGAGGGACGTAACGAGGTTCGTAAAGGAGACTTTTCGAACGAGTTCCGGAAAAATGCTTTTTCGCCCGAGGAAGTACCAGCCTCTTAAAACCACCCGAGGGCGGAAAAAATTTTTATTGGCAGTTTGAGTACATTTTTGCCATAACACAAATACTTGTTTTCTTGAAAACGAGCAGCGTCATCTGGCGTGGCTAATTCTATACATGCTTAAAAAGTACCGTATTTCTTGTGAAAGAAATTCACTAAGATAACCAGGTTAGTTTCCGTAGCGGAGGGTCAACCCTCTACGCTCACTTCCGGTAAATTCAATATGAAATCTTACTTGGCCAAATGTCCGTAACGGAGGGTCTAAGTATATTGGAGTCGATCTATTAGACCCTCCGATCACTTCCTATAAATTCACTAGATCAGGTGTCAGCAGCGGAGGGTCTATTTTGGAGCCAATCTGTTGGACCCTATTATACTCTAGAAATTCACTAAAAACTTTTACTAAGCTACTGACTTGTAAACCAGCCGCAACTGGTCTTGTGAATATTAATTAATAATTTGACGTTGTCAGTGCTATTTGTATAAAAATATAGAAGGCAAACATTTTAGTCAAAGATAGATTGTGAACTTGCCGCAAACAGCACAGAAAATATTAACTTTTTATTATCTATCTTTAAGTTTAGTTGCGGCTGGTTTATAGTCAATTATATGAATCTACTGTAAGTAGCAATAATTATTTGGATCAGCGCCATCTAGCGGTCTTTATTTTTTGGCCAAAAGTGGCTCCTAAAATTCTGAATCAGAGCAATCAGGATTAGAGCCATTTAGTCAATTATAAACCAGCCGCAACTCATGATGAAGCTATAAAATGAAAAAATAACAATACATGTGTTTTTGGCGGCAAGTTAACAATCTATTTTCTA